AGACGCGCGTCGCCGCGACGCTGCGAGCCGTACCGCTCGCGGCGGCCGATCGATCCTCCCACGCTCGCCGGGGGGCAGAAACGATTCCCGCTCGCTTTATTGTTCCCGGGTTCACGGCGGCGGAGCGCAGTAAATTCCGAGAACAATAGGGGAACGCGTGTCCGCGCACAAAGCGGCGTTCGGGGGAAAAAACAGTTTCGCCGGGCGCTGATTAAATTCGTTCGGTTAGCAAAAGGAACTCCGGCGCCGCGCGCAGGACGAGGATATTTTCTGCCTGTACTTTCGCCCTTGTCCCTCCGTTCTCCGCTGGTTCGAAAAAAGCCCGGCAATTAAACGCCGTCGCGTCGCTCGTTAGCGGCGTTCGGCGCGACACGTTTCGCGCGCGGTCCGGGCGCCGATGGGATTCCGTCGGAATGGATTCGACGGACGACCGTGGCTTCAAGTATGGTTCGATCGTAGATTGTACGAGGGATTGCACGGGTATCTTTGATGTATTGCAACGGGGAGGAGCGAAGTAATTATGGTTCGTCGTTGCTCCAGTTCCCTTAGCTGTCTTACACGCTGTTTATAGTGATTCGCTGATTAAAGTGGAGCTGCCTCGGAGGTAGCTGGAGCGTTTCGTCAAAATGAAAACGTCGTATTACCTCGGTCTCGCTGCCAGTTAACGAATCTCATTCGCCGGCGTACGCGAGCGCGGTGTCCGAGGAATTTGAAGGAAATAAGAGGAGGTCTTGCGAGAGCACGATTCGCCCGCGTACCCGGAGCTCGTTCGGCGGGCACAGACAACCAGGCCGGCGATAAAAAGAAAAGTTGGCGGCTTCGTGACCAGCTTCTCGGATACTTCTCGGTTTCCCGATCCCCCCGCCCGGCTACCAATTAGAACTTAGAACCTCCCGCGTGAACCGCTAATCCCATTCGACGGAGCAGCCGTTCCTCCGGTCTGATCGGATCTCGCTCACTGTTGCGCAACGTATTGATATTCCGGGCGGCTTTTACATCCGACGCGAGGAAACATTTTTCAAAGGCCCGCGCGAGCATAGAGTCGGATAAGGATTCCGAATCAAACCCATCGCGATTGAACCGTCGCCGTGGATTTGTTTCGTCGCAGAGAATATCATTCTATCGTGGAGCTCACAGTATCGTTCCTTCCACTGCTCGTCGTATCTTTCAATCAAATTTTACTGGAAAGTTACAGACATCCTCTGTCGTTCAACACCAACTGGCACACGTCCAATGTTCTGCCAAAACTTTTACACTAATCAAACGTCGAACTTCAACGTTCTGGCTACGACGGGACCAGCCGCGAAGTTATACCTCTGTGCGGCAAGGTTTCACGATCTGTGACTCATAGAATTGTCTGTGCAATTACGTTAGACTAGACTAACTAAGAACCTGCGTAACTGTGACAGAGGAAGAACCGTAGCGATATAACGGCGTATCGCTCGTAAAGGTGATCTACAGGAAAGCCACTATGATGACGTGCAGTAGCTAAAGAGTGATGTACACAAAAACCACTGTCATCGCGTACAGTAGCCCAAAAATGATATACACGAATGTCACTACAGTGGCGTACACTAGCTAAAGACGGTATACACGTGTTCGCGAGCGCGTCGCGAAGAGTGGCAAAGTATGGTCAGTCGCACTGTCGCGAGAAGTAGCGAAGAACGGTACAGGTGCGCCGTCGCGAAAGGGTTAACGCGACCGATCCTAATCGGAAAATTCTGTTTCCAGCTGAGCGATGGCACGGTCTCCGAGGCGCCGCGTCGCGTGGCCATCGAGGGAGGTCCGGGAAGCGGACGAACCACCCTGTGTCTCCGCTTGCTGCACCAGTGGGCGATCCAAGGCGACGGCCCGGCTCTGGCGTTCATCGTTCCCCTGCGAGAGCTCCGAGGCAGCCCCGTGCTGACCTATCTCGCTCGGGAACTGTTCCCGCGGACAGCAGCTCTCGGCGACGCGGTCGCTCAGGTCTGGCGCACGTTGCACTTGATGGAGGACCGGGTCCAGTTCATTCTGGACGGGTACGACGAGTGCGTGGGCGGCAGGGCGGCCCTGGGCGACGCGGTGGACCTCCTCGAAGGCCGGCTGTTCCCGGACGCGAGGATTCTCGTCACCTGCTCGCCGAGCAACGCGGCCGCCCTCTCGCCGCTCGTCCAGAGGAGGATCCATCTGGCAGGCCTCGAGTGGCCGCACGTAGAGAGGCTGTGCGTCGCTTACTTCATCCACAACGACATGGCGGAGAAGGCCTGCGAGTTCCTCGAGGCGCTGAACGTTCAGCCGCAGACCGTCAAGCAGCTTGGTCAGCACCCGCTCGGATGGATTATGCTCTGTTGCCTTTACCAGGTATTTGCGTGGGAAATGCTGCGTTAGACATTACCGAGAGCCGGCTAGCTTGTAGACGAACGATCAGCGGTTTAACGGGGAGTATTAACTTCTGGGGAGCAGGACAATTCCCTGATCTTCCTCCGGTTCTACTCTATAGCTTTCGTGTCTTGAGATCAGAGGCTAACGAGGAGAGTGCAAGGCCTTCGGTCACCGATTTCGTTGAAACATTGCATATGGGAAGATACTCGATAGTTTCTTAGATATTCGTTATTAAAAATATATCACGTCAATAAGTAGAGTATTAATCGGAATAATCACCGAGCTGAATGGCGTGAGGGTAACGTTCTGGAATTGTACTCCGTAGGTAAGGATTCGTTCGGTTCCCCGAGGGAAGGGAATATCTTTCGACCTTTTTATTTAAGTAACAGTTAAAGCAATTAACGTCTGAAACGACAGCGAGAAAGAAGCAAGCACGTATCCCACTTCTAACCTAGAATCACCAGAACCCAGCGTCTCCATTCCGGCCGCGAAGATTAAGCTTGTAAAGTACGCGGCGGTGGGGCACGCTACTCGAACTCGCGCGCAATTTGCTAAGGCGGCAGCGAGAGGGGAGGGCAATAAAAGTAGCCGTCGCGCGGCGGGACGTAGAGTAAAAAAAAAGAAACGAGTCGGAGCGGCCGTAAAAAGGACTCGCCGGTTCGAAGCGCCGTCACCC